TGTGTGTGTGTGTGTGTGTGTGTGTGTGTGTGTGTGTGTGTGTGTGTGTGTGTGTGTGTGTGTGTGTGTGTGTGAGACCTGTAAGAAACACTGTAAAAAGGAGAGTTTAAAAAGCACCTGAAGGTTGGTTGTATCAACAGAGTAAAAATGACAGAAAACTGTGAACCTGCTGGTTTATTGTTGGATTGAGAGGCGGTTTGTGCATGTAGTGTGTGTGTGTGTGTGTGTGTGTGTGTGTGTGTCAGCACAGACTGCATGAGTCCAGTGTAAGCTGGTATTTGAAGGTCAGAGGACTGGAAGGCTTCCTGGTATAAAAGGGGTCATCTGAAGACCATGAGCACCAGACTGAACAGTTGTCCCAGAAGACAGCCCTGTGTGAACCAACACACAACAGTGGTTGTGTCAGTGTGTGTGTGTGTGTGTGTGTGTGGAAGAGTCTTACAAACAGGACTGGGTAAGAAGCAGATAAAGTGAATCAACCTCCATAATAAAGTGTTGACATGTTGAACATTTATCTGTACGAAGTATAAAAGCAGCCTGGAGTRTGGACTGAAGCTCCGCCCCTGACCTCAGGACAACACTGTTGTTGTAAGTGAAGTTCAGGTGCAAAGACCTGACCAGGTGAAATAAGGACAGTACTGGAGCTGAGGCACAAGAGAAGCTGCACCAAATGAAGGAGGAAGATCTTTTAAAAGCTGCTGCCTGAAAACACTCAAACCTACAAACTCCTTTAATGTTGGACTTTAAGATTTTTATCTCTTATGATTATTAGAGCTGCTCTGCAAGTAGACATGATGTCAGAAGATGAGTTCAACCTGACTGGTTGGTCCTTCATTATATTTTCTGTCTGTTCGATGACAGAGCTGCACCAAAAACAACAAATATCAGATTGGTTCACAATCAGTGTCTCTTTGACTCACTGTGGTTCTGGAGAAGAGACCCAGTGAGGATGACCCACTTCACTGAGGAGGCTTCAGTGGTTTGTCTTCATGTAACTCAACATTACAGGCTGGATTTGTTGCTAACCCCCCCCCCCTGTGTTTCCCACCTGCTGCACACAGACACTACAGGAATCTGTACGTCCAGGTTAGAGCTGGGTGGTAACTCACTAACATTATTTATCATCATAAACATGTTTAATATCAATATAAATCTTCTTTGATATAATGGTGATAATTTCACTGGTTATTAACCACAAACAGATGATAACTTTCTGATAAAAGAAGCTGGGATCTCTCATCTAAACAACACCAGGAAACCTAAGATTCACATTTCAAACAAAGCATCAGGCTGTTGATGACTGTGGAAGAGCACTGATTCACCAAATTAACAGAAACAACACTCCTGACCTGTTATCATCAGATCAGGAGTGTRATTGTTTTATTTGGTGAATGAGATGCTCTTCCAACAACAAACACCCACTAAAAAAATTAAAATAATCACCTGCACTTTATTTTGAAAAGTGTAAACCAGGGTTTCTTTCTTCCTCTTGTCGGTACATTTAGTGACAGAGCTGTAGCTAACTGGACCGGTCCACCATCACAGGCTTAATGTGAACTGACTTATTGATTTAAGATGCTGCTTCACTGAAACAAGGCATCTAAAAACTGAACAGGCTGTCAACACCAAGCCCCAACCAAGCCCCAACAGCTATACCAATACCAAGCCCCAACCAAGCCCCAACAGCTATATCAATACCAAGCCCCAACAGCTATATCAATACCAAGCCCCAACCAAGCCCCAACAGCTATACCAACGCCAAGCCCCAACAGCTAAAAACCTGCAGCTAAACATAAGTTAGAAAAAAACCTGTGGAGTAACGTGCAGCTACATGTTTCGCCTCATAACAGCTGAAAAATAAAAAAATAAAATATGCAGTGAAGGGAGATAATGATGCAACAGCTCCAGAGGAAATTGTGGATAAAASAGGAAAGTTWGTCAGGATTTATATTTTAACTTCAACAAGTTCGACCAATGTTCTTTAAAACTAACCAATAACGCTTTTATTGTGAAATGTTTTACAGCCATATCACCCAGCTCTAGTCCTTATTACTAAACTTAGTTTTATTTTTGATCCGTTCCAGTGTTTCAGGTAAATATTGTTTTAACGTGACGTTAAAAAGCTGATTTAAACTCACCTGCTGACACCATTTATAAAAGCAGAGCAGTTTGTGTGTGGAGAAACATGAAATGTTACAACCTGATTTAGTTTTACTGTCTCTCTATAAATAAAAGGAGCTTTGCATTTAATTACCTGAGCACCACTAACTTTTTGTTACTCCATTTTATGTTTATATTTTAGGTTTATTTTCTGTTTGTTTGGCTTCTTCTGATGGTCAAYCTGGATTTAACACAAAATACACAACGACTGAAACAACCAGACAGTTCAGCCTCAAAGAGCACCAACAACTGTAAAAGTGTCGTATTTAAGTGGCACCGTTTGGACCTCTTCACCTGACTAGCACCACAAGTGTTATCTGATCTGTGTGTATGTGTGTGTATTTCTGTGTATTTCTGTGTATTTGTGTGTATTTGTATTCACTGCACCATAAAACAGCAGTAGCACTAAGTATGAGATCAGTTAAGTGTTGTAGCAGAAGGATTTGTTGGTGGTGTGTTCAGGGGCAAATTAAAGGCAGAAAACTGGAGCGTCTGTTAGTCCTGCCCCCCCCTGGAGGACTGGAGTCTTAGTCCTGCCCCCGCTGGAGGACTGGGGTCTTAGTCCTGCCCCCCCCTGGAGGACTGGAGTCTACATGGTGTGGTGTCGGACCGGTTGGTTTTCCAGATGTTCCAGTCCGGTTCCAGTGGGTGTGTTTTGGGCGGTTGGTGGAGGTGGTTTTTAGGTTTTTTGAAAAAAAGTTAATGAGCAAAATGAGAGATGGAAACACATTTGATGAATAACTTTAGAAATTTTAAAAATTTGCAAAAATTTCTAATTAAAATTGGATGGAAACAGGACTAATGTCACCGCTACAACTGAAAAAATGGCTCCTTGAGTTGTTGTTGTAAAGGCAGCTTAGACTCAACCAGTGACTCCACCCCCTGACCAATCAGTGACTCCACCCCCTGACCAATCAGTGACTCCACCCCCTGACCAATCAGTGACTCCACCCCCTGACCAATCAGTGACCAACAGTGTTCTGACATCACATTTTGGTGTCAGCTGGGACCACTTGGAACCACAATGAAGTAGGTAGTAAACAAAGTGCTGGTTCCATGGATCTGACCTGATGGAGAGGGCTTGGAACCGGACCGAACCGTACCGACACTGCACTATGTGGCACTAGTGGAAAAGGAGGACTGGAGTCCAGTTATTGCAGCCCAGTAAAGCCAGAAGACACCAGTTTGAAGGTTGGAACAGGAAGTGAGTGTGTGAAGATTTACAGCACACACACCTCACACATGTGTGTGTAGCACCAGGGGACTGAGGTCAACCAGTGGTCTACATGTGGAAGCAGTCTTTACAGTGTGTGTGTGTGTGTGTGTGTGTGTGTGTGTGTGTGTGTGTGTGTGTGTGTGTGTGTG